CTATCAAAGGGTAGGGAAAAACAATTTTAGGGTAAGCATAGCTGAACCTAGACAAATTAAAAAGAAACATTTGCTGGCAACATTCTCATCCTGCAGGTTCATAGAATGTGGAACATGAGAGCTGAAGGAACCTTAGGGTCCCCCTGTTCCCCCTCTTCCCCCCAAGATCACAGGTAAGGAAATCAGGCCTCGGGGCTTTACCTTTCTGCTTTCCACCCCTTCGTGTGGCTTCCTCCCACTCCCTTTTCTTCAAGCTGCTGTCAATCAAAATAAATTTGTTTTAAGAAATGGCTTGAAATGTGGTCAGGCTATATTGTCAAAGCTAAAAACCTGGTTAAACTCGGACCTCTCACAGGGGACTTGCAGTGAGCAGGGTTCAAACCAAAAGCAAAAGGAATACACCTCCAAGGGAAGGACCTTAACTACCCTGGAGGGCAGTTTCTGGTGGAGAGTTAGGGAGACTGTCTTAGGTCCAGTCCCCAGAAAACAGATCCTGAGAGGAAAATTTCAGGTTTGTTAGGAAATATTCCTAGGAAAAGACTTGCAGGAGAGCTGGGGATGGGAAAGGATGGGGAGTACAAGGAGGCCTGAGGGTGCGGTGTCAGGCAGTGTGCAGAGGGGATGTGGGCTCAGTCCCACAGAGGAGCTCAGGAGTAGTGTAGGCTGTGCCTGAGAGTTGTCATGGCCACTGGGTGAAGGGGCAGACGTCGGACCCTTCCACAGCTGTCGGGTATTAAAGAGCTGCCTGGCTGTGGGGTGGGTGTGAGTGTGGGGCTCAGTTCTCTCCTGGCAGTGGACTCCAGTAACCCGAAGGAGTCAGACAATTGTGTAACTAAAGGGAGAGCTACCTGAGGGGACCTGGGCACAGCCCTGTCAGAGCCCTGACAGCAGACACCTTCCTGACACCTTCAAATCACACTGGGGCGCATCCTCCAGTGCTGCCCGCTCCCTGAGCTCATTAGCTACAATCAGCGATTGGGTCTCAGCTTCTGCAGTCTTTGGAATTGTGATTCTAAATGAGAGCCGAGGAAAGGAAGGTTTCCGTTGGAGTAAACCAAGCACAAATTCAGATTTTTGGATTGGCACACTTTCATTTCAGCCTCTCTCAGGGTATATCAGTTTCCAGGAAGAAAACAAAAGAGCATATATTCCAAGCAGCAAGAGAAAGGAAAATAGAAATACGTGTTCTAAGGCTTATCCCTAATGACCATGGTGGTTATTTTCTGCCAGACTTGACTTCATTGCCCAACTCATGACTCTAAAAGGAAGAATGAAGAAAGGGGAATATTCTATTCATGTAAATCAGGGAAGATGGGGTGAGAGAGGAAAAGAATGACAAAGGCGGGCTCATTAAGGGGAGGGCAGTGTACCAGCTTAGGGGGCTCTCTCAGTGAATGTGAAGAAATGGGGATGGGTGGTGTGTAACTGAGTCTTCACTATGCCCCACACTCTATTCTAAGAGCGTCTTAATGAATTACCCTTTAAGCTTCACAATGCTGTAAGCGAGGAAATAGAGGAACTGGTCCGAGGTCACACCACTGGTAAGTGGCAGAGCTGGGGTCCGAATCCAGGCCTGTTGGTTTCTGAGTTGGACCAGAGTGTCAGCCCCAAGAGCTTAGCTGGATTCAGCATCTGCCTATTATCTATGAAATGCTTGAGTCTGAAATGACATGAAATCCACCTTTATCCTCCAAGGAGAGCTTATCTTTTTTTTTTTTTTAAACACTTTATTTTTTAAAATATATTTTATTGATTTTCCACAGAGAGGAAGAGAGGGGGATAGAGAGTTAGAAATGTTGATGAGAGAGAAACATGAACCAGCTGCCTTCTGCACACCCTCACTGGGGATATGCCCTCAACCAAGGTACATGTCCTTGACCGGAATCGAACCTGGGACCTTTCAGTCCACAGACCGATGCTCTATCCACTGAGCCAAACCGGTTTCGGCAGAGCTTATCTTTCTTTCCTCCTTTTTAAAAACATTGATTTTTAAATTATTCATGGAATGTACCAATACATTTAAAAACTTTGAGTTAAAACATCACAGAAAAAAAATGTAAGTCATTATTTCTTTTGATCAACACCCCCAAATTCCTATTCCCTCCCTGTTACCCATTCTCACTGCTATCAGTTCAATGTATATAATTTCAGATATTAAAAAACACACACATTTAGATGCTTATTACGTATTCTTTTAAAATATATGATAGTGTTTTGACCCTTTTATTTAAAAAGAAAACACACGAATTGTATGATACCACACTTTAGAGGTTCCCAAACTTTCTTGGCTGATGGCTTTCTTAGCTTCTTAGTAATGTTTCCTACTCCTACATGGCAGATACAGCCAATCGACCATGGTCCTCCTCACTGAGCCTTCATTCTCCATGTTCCTCCCATTCCCCAACCCCCATCTCAGAACCCTTCTCATAGCCTTGGGAGATGGCCACTGACTAATTGGGGTGGGCACACAAGGTGAAACTTATCTGTCATCCCTGGAGGCAGAGAAAAGGTGGAGAGGTAGGTTGACCTTAGGCTGAGAAAGGCCAAGGGGTTCAAAGGATGACAGGCAAAGCGAATTCAGAAAACATGTTTATATTTCAGGGTTTATTGGCAAAATGACTGGTGATTTTCCTCTGTGAGATAATAGCAGTAGGTATTGATCTCTGGCTGCTGTTATTTGTTTTCTTGCCTTAGTTCTAAGCTATTCTGTTTATTTCTAAAAAAGTAATTTCATCACCAGACACCCCTTTAATTATTCTCTGGGAGTCCGTGTATTGGAAAACGTTGGTCTATCAATTAAACCTCACTTATGTAACAGCAACAGCGTCAGCAAACAAGCATTTCTTATTTTCCATGTGCCAGCCACTGTTTAAGTGTCTTATGTTTTTAATATGTTTTAAAATACTTGCAAGGTAGATGCTATTACTATTCCCATTTTATAGTTGTTGAAATTGAGAGACAGAGAGGTTAAACATTTTTGCATAAGGTTATATAGCCAGTAAGTGGTAAAATCAATACATTTTCCACTCGTCCATTGTAATGCTATAAAGAACAAACATTATTTCTGACTAGAAGGAGATAATAAAAAACTAGAATAGTGGTTTCTAGGGGCTGGGAGGAAGGCTCAGAAAGTTATTGTTTAATAAGCATAGAGTTAAAATTTTACAAGATAGAAAAAGTCCTGGAGATGGATAGTGGTGATGGTAGCACACCATTATGAATGCATTTAATACTGCTAAATTGTACCCTTTAAAATGGTTACAATGGTTATGTATATTTTACCACAATAAAAAAATTGGGGAAAGGGAAGATAACCAGGGCTTCCAAAATGAGGTGATATAATTTTGGCCATATGCAAAGAAACTTGCTATTTGAGCTTGTGCAATGTATCTGGTGATTTTCTGTTAGAGTCTTCGTGAAAAGACACCCATTCTTTTTTTGTTTGTTCATTCTCACCTGAGTATATTTCCCCCCATAGATTGTTATAGGAGGGAGGGGGAAAGTGAGAGATAAACATCGATGTGAACGAGACACATAGATTGGTTGCTTCCTGCCCCGACCCTGGCTGGGGATTGAACCTGTAATTCAGGTACATGCCCTTGACCAGGAATCAAACCCACAACCCTTTGGTGCCCAGGCTGACACTCTAACCACCAAGCAACATCCGGCCAGAGCACTAGTCTTGTTTTTGAAGGCCACAGAGCTCTCTTACTCTGGATTGGAAACTCCTGGTTTGACCACTCGATTTTTCAGTTCCTGGTGAAAGAGAACATTCATTGTGGAGAATGATCCTTTTTAGAGTGAACTGATCCATCGGGAGGCTGCACGGCCAAGGCCCAGGGCCTTGCTCTGGAATTCCACTGCACACTGCCCTCCCAGTTATTCACTGGGTGACCTTAGGCAAGTTGTTTAAATCTTGAGCCCAGACCTCTCATCTGTAAATGGAGTGGTAGTGATGGTCCATGGAGACTCTTAGAAGAGTACCTGGCACTTAAGCACTCAGCAAATGCTTTCTCTTATTAAACCTTATCATTTTGTATTATATCAAGCAATAGTGACAATGCAGAACCTTGAGGCTTCTGGATGATACAATGAGAGAGAAGTGTAAGCACTCAACTGATAAGTGTCCCCCTTCCTCCCCTCTATCAAACAGGGTTGGGGGGAACCATAGTGGGGACTCCTAGACCTCTTGGTGGATACCCAGTGGCAACCCCCTATTGTCTTCATAAATTATAGGTGTATAAAGTGATGTTTCCTGACATTCCCTAAGTGGTTTCGGGGACATCATGTGATATCAAAAGCTGCCCAGATCTCAACATGTTGAAGTGACCATCACATATGTGTGGAGAGAGCTGGCCACAGGGACTAGCATGAAGTCTGCTTTAGATGCCTACCCAGGTCTTTGAGCTCCTTTGTTTTGTGAGGGAGCTGATTTTCCTTCATGATGACCTCAGGCCTCTGAATTGAGATATTAAAAATCATTTGTTCTCCCTACCACAAAGGAAGAATCAGCTCTGTGCATTGCGGGGCTGATGCTGGCTTGGCCCACTGTTAACCCGGGAGGAGGCTGCCTCAGGAAAGGTGGGGGGCAAGGTGCTGATATTGTCTTGGATTGTGACTCTGAGGTCAATGATGTCCAAGTCTTTAGCCATCTCTGGTTTTCCTAGAGCAATGGAGCTCAAAGGATCACCGAGGAGTCAACTAGAGCCACTAGAACATCTCCTTTAGGTGCATGTCCACTCTCTTGTCCTTCTCCCCTAGCAACCATGTGACTCAAACACTGCAAGTGTTAATTCTCCGCAGTTTATACCCTTGCCTATAGTAGTATTATGGTTGCCAAATTGTTCATGTGGGTCTTCAGAGGTGGAACCCTGAGGAATAGCTATAGGAACCAAGGCTGTACTTTGGGAAAAGAGTATCTTTATTAAATTCCTTTTAGTTATTAAATATGCATCATATGGTCCAGCCATTTGATCTGCAATCTTTTTCTTTCTCCCCAGCACTGGCTTGAACCGAACAAGTCAATCTGCAAGCAAATGAAATGTAAGTGCCAACCTGTGGGTTCACCATTGTTATGAAGTGCCCAAAGATTCTGTTTCTCCACAGAGTTTTTCCTGCCAGAAAAGAGACTGCTTTAGTTGAAGGGCTGAGGGTGGGCGGGGCTTCTCTCTCCCAGGGTGGGCTGTGTGGATTCTCTCTCATTTGCTGGCCTTGGGCTGCTTTGCAGTCACTGTTCCCACAACCGCCTGTGCCTCTCCCTCTCCACCAGCTTACCCTCATGTTCCATATTTGCACAGGGGAATTGGATTAGATGGTTGAATATCTGTTACACATAATCACCAGATGCCTGGTTCCTTCTGATTGTGGGGTTGCTAGTAAATGGTTCAGGGTGGGAGATGCAGTCTTCCGGGGTGTATTTTGAAACTAAAATCTTGCTATATCTTTACTGAAGAGTGTGTTGTGTTTTTCCACCCCTCAAGTTCCCTAATATAAACACCCCCTCCCCCCCGAGTAATTGTTTGCAAGCTCTGGTGTCCTGCGCTGCGCTTTTAAATATTTTTATTTTTTTTCCTGATGAGTTAGTGGAGAGGTCTCTCTGGAAAACCTTTCTCTGAGGCGTTGTGAGGAGGGTGTTGACTAGTGGTCCTGGGTGGGCATGGTTTTGTCTGGTCCTCCCTGCCAGGCTGCAGTCACCCTGCTTTTATTTGTGGTTTGGAGGAGAGCTTCTCAAATGCACCTCATAGATTCACAGCTGGCCCTTACATCCATTTATCCCTCCACGCCAACTTTCCCACGGCCCTGAAATGCAGGCGATCAATCAGCTTCTCATTGGAGATCAGGTTAGCACAGATTATGTCACTTGTCATCATCCAGGGGATTCTTTTCTTTGTCCAAATATGAAGAGGTTATTCTGGGCAGGGTTTTGAGTGGGAGAAGAAGGAAGAGACTGAACGTGGATGGCACTCTGGCAACCAACATATTTATTCCTAGTTCTGTTTTCTCCCCTCCCTCTTTCTCTCTCTCCATTCCCTTTTATTCCCCCTCCCCTCTCCCATCTCTGAAGAGCGAACTGTCTGGCCAGTGCAGGAAAGATAGCCAGACAGCTAGCAACCATGGCTGTTGTGAGCAATGGGTGCTGCAGGAAAGATGTATGAGATGAAAATGGACAGCAGTGAGCGTGGTAGGTCCAGAGAGGTCAGGCTGTAGGGTGAGGCTAAAAGAGAGTTGAGACAAGCATCTGATAAGAAGTAGAGGGCAGAGGTATTAGGAAGTTCTGTATAGAATGACTCATAGGATAATAAAAATGAGCAAACATGTTTGAGAAAAAAAATAGCCTAACTTTTATCCCTTAACTGTAAGTTTTCATATTTTTGTTTACATACTTTAAAATATTTAGACAATTTTCCAGGAAAAGTTACTTATAGTAAGTGGTTCTTTGACTTTGGTTCTTAAATGTCACGAAATATGTTCCTTAGGCTGCACACAATTTTGAAATATAAATCTGTTTCATTTCAACACTTAATAGAAGAAAACATTTAAAACTTGTGAAGAATTTGCTGCTAAAGAGCTTTGTCTCTGCCATTAGTAAATCTGAACAAACAACTGAAAACTCACAGTGTTTTACAAAAGTGGTATGAAGATTAACATATGACTACTGACCAGTGCCAATCTAATGATGAGTGGCATCTGGATCTGGAAAAAGAGCTGTGTAAAGTTCAGCACGTAAGCCTGACCCCATGGCTCACTGCTTCTAGGAACCGGCAAGGGTCTTCTCACTCATCACCCAGTGCTCTGTGTATGAAGGACATTAGTGAAGAAACTTGGTGTCATTTTCTCAAGATCACAAACCTGGTTTTGTTGTTGTTGATGTCTGTTACATCAAGAATTTCTGTGCTCTTGTCCATGTCCTGGAACATGAACTTGAATGTAAATTAGGAAAAAAAAATATGTGGGCTTATAAAATGTGAACTCCGAGAAACTGGGTCCAACCCCTGAGACTCATTCATGAATTAATCAAAAGGATCTTGTTGCAGAACCCAGACAGCTTCCAGCGTGGGTGTGGGCGTGCCTTTTAGACTCTGAGTAGGCAGCGAGGGCACAGCTCCTTGGAAGAACAGTTCCTCCCATTCCTCTCCCTCACTAGAGTGATGCCTGACTTTCAGGTCCTTTGCCCTGATCTGGTGAAGATCCCTCTGTGGGCGTTCCCACAGGCGGGCAGAAGTTCAGCTGTCCTAATGAGCCTACACTTTGCAGAGGCATTACTCTTACTTCTTACTAGTGTTCTAAAAAATCACTTTCAATATCATGCTCGTGTGTTTTTTCCAACAGCTCAGAAAAGTTTAAAATGAAAACCATATTTTCTTTCTTCTCCCCATTATATCTCCCCAATAAATAACTGTTGTTATCAGTGTTTTATATATCCCTCTAGGATTTTTTTTTGTTATATAAGCTCCCTCAACATATGAAAGGCCTTTTATCAACAAAAACAAGATAAATATCTATATTATTCTTAACCTTGTTTTCTTTTCTTTCTTTTTAAAAAAAAATATATTTTATTGATTTTTTTACAGAGAGGAAGGGAAAGAGATAGAGAGCCAGAAACGTCAATGAGAGAGAAACATCTACCAGCTGCCCCTCATACACTCCCCACTGGGGATGCGCCCACAACCAAGGCACATGCCCCTGACCGGAATCGAACCTGGGACCCTTCAGTCTGCAGACCGACGCTCTACCACTGAGCCAAACTGGTTTCAGCTTCTTTTCTTTCTTTCTTTTTTCTTTTCTTCTTCATCTTTTTAAAAATATATATTTTATTGATTTTTTACAGAGAGGAAGGGAGAGAGATGGAGAGCTAGAAACATCGATGAGAGAGAAACATCAACAAGCTGCCTCTTGCACACCCCCTACAGGGGATATGTCCGCAACCAATGTATATGGCCTTGCCCGGAATCGAACCTGGGACCTTTCAGTCCGCATACTGACGCTCTACCATTGAGCGAAACTGGCTTTGGCGGCTTCTTTTCTTTAAAAAAAAATAAAAATATTTTCATTGATTTTAGGGAGGAAGGGAGAGGAAGAGAGAGATAGAAACATCAGTGATGAGAGAGAATCATTGATTGGCTGTCTCCTGCATGCCCCACCCACTAGGGATTGAGCCCAGGACCCTTTGGCCCACAGGCTGATATTCTACAATACGTTCTATCCACTGAGCCAAATTGGCTAGGGCTTAAATTATATATATATAATTTCTTTATTGATTATTGTATTACATATGTGTCCTTATTCCCCCATTAACCCCTTATCCCCTCCCCTCATGCCCTCACTCCCCTGTTGTCTGTGTCCATTGGTGAGGCTTATATGCATGCACACAAGTCCTTTGGTTAATCTATCCCCCTTGCCCCCACCTTCCCCTACCTTTCCTGTGAGGTTTAATGGTCTGATCGATGTTTTTTGTCTCTGGATCTATTTTTGTTCATCAGTTTGTGTTGTTCATTATATTCCATAAATGAGTGAGATCATGTGATATTTATCTTTCTCTGCCTGGCTTACTTCATTTAGCATAATGCTCTCCAGTTTCATCCATGCTGTTGCTGGCTGGTGTGGCTCAGTGGGTGAGTGTTGACCTATGAACCAGGAGGCCAAGATAAGATTCTCAGTCAGGGCATGAGCTTGTGTTGTGGGCTTAATCCACAGTAGAGGGCATTCAGGAGGTAGCCAATCAATGATTCTCTCTCATCATTGATGTTTCTATTTTTCTCTCTCTCTTCCTTCATCTCTGAAATTAATAAAAATAAAAAAAAGAATGATAGGCTTCTTGTTCTATTAGACAGCAAATGAAGGCCTATAAGTTATAATAATTAAAAGAGGCCTAGCAATAGACATACACAGTAATTAAGAAATATCCAGAAATAGAAAAAGAATCAGTGGAACAACAAAAAATGCCAAATTCAGTCATTATTTACGAGAAGTGGGTTATAATAAAGATTGTAATTCATATCAGAGACAGGAAGGTAGATTATTCAAGGCATGATTTTGGACATCTTTTCCACTGGAGAAAAAGCTAAGAACGTACCTCATACCATACATAAGATTAATTCCAGATGAATTCAAAAGCCCAATATATTTAACAACCCATAGAAATTTTAGGTAAAAATTTAGGAGTACTTTTGATAATTGTGGAGTAGCACATGATTTCCTAAGGAAAAACTAAAACCCCGAAGCAACAAAGCAAAATACTAACAAGTCTGTGCAAAACTTAAACTTTTGTACCAGAATATTTGGTTTGTTCACTGCATAGAGTAGATTTTCAGTAGATATTTGTTGAATCAATAACTATAAAATGAATTATAAAAAGTTAAAATACAAGAAAAATAATGGGAAGAGCATTTGCTAAAATATAATAAGTAACAATATGCAGAATATATTAGGTGTGATGCTATGAATCCAAAGATAAACAACTCAATAGAGAAATGTGAAAATACATATAGGAGAAATAAAAATAAATGGCTAACAAACCCATAAACAGATGCTCAGTACCATTAGCAACAAGGAATGTGCACATTAAAACAAGATGTTTTTGTTTATCATACTGAGAATTATAAACACTGATAATATCCAGTTGATGAGAATGAGCGTGTCACCTCCAGTGGAGGTGCATTAATGGATAAAGCCATTTGAGAAGGAAATTTGGCTATATCCTTCAAGATTAAAAAGGCCTCTATCTCTTGATCTAACAAGGTAATATCTAGGAATCTGTCTAAAACAAAATTTATTCCAGCACAGGTATATATTTTGCAAGGATGTCCATTGCAACATTGCTCATAACATTGAGAACTGGAAGCAATAAGAAGCCCTGCAATTTTGGCAAAGCTAAATAAATTATGTGGAATACATGTGGTCAGAAGGAAAAAGGCAGATGTTTATTTTTTGGCACTGAAAGCTTTATTAAATATATCATAGAGTTAAAAACAAATAAAAACACCACATGTGGGATGATCCATTTATGTGAAAACTAGAGACCCAATGTACTAAATTGGAGCAAG